TGCCCAAAATCAATTTTGCCCTGAGGAAGCTGCAGTGTGTTGGGTCTTTTCCATCTTTAATGTTGCTGGCATGAATATTGTAAGCACTGTGTACATTTCACACTTTAACAGGTTTCTAGATTTGAGCAAGCAATTCAGGTGATATGATAAGACAGAGTGTGAAATGTATATTCCTGTTCATTCTGGTGCTCTTAAATGGTTTGGTGTAATTATGTGATCAAATATGTTTATGCTTTTATGATGTTCCATCGGCCTTTCATCTTAGACTCAGTAAAACCGCGTGACTGCTCAGTGATTGCCTGGTATGAAAGCGCAGAAACTGACAACAGCCTGTATTGCTGTGTTTGGTCTACCCCATAGTCTTTGTACTTTAAAGTCATAAAGTAATGACACAGTCAAATATGTGTAATGGCGCCGGTAAACTGTAGTAAAATGTTCAGTTGAACTGAAACATTGCCGCATTTAATTCCCTGATTAAAAGCATCAGTGCTAGTTGTTACAACATATAACGGCAAATTATTATAGTTCTGTGTAACCACTTTGTGACTTATTCTCAATTAGAGCCGTCAAAATAAAGATACATTTTTTTTGTAATTTTGCAAGATGGCATGTTTATGGCTGTTTCTAACAGTGTAGTGTTTATACAGTAGAGATATGTCACTGCTTAGTTTGGTTTTCACCATAGATGTATTGGTTTTACTCATAAACATGCCAAAACATGAGCTTGGAAACATATCATTCAAATGTACTGCTGGCTAGTTGTCCATTTGGTGTTGAAGTAAAATATCATAACTCATAAACTCGGGTATCATGGAGTTTCTCTAATTTTATCACAGGTATTTACTGCCTGTCAGCTGTTGTAGTGAAACTTCCTGGTGGTAAAATTTATGACAAAGGCTGCCTGAAGGCACGTCTACCAAAGAAAGTACAACTTGTACCATGGTAAGCTGATCAAAGCATCTTCAGTAAAGTAATCAGTGAAGTCATTTAGTGGTGTCTTTGGCTGGAATGAAACATGCAGACTTTCTGCCTCCAGAGCACATTGTTGTCCAACCTGCTCTATAAACACTTTTCACCTTGAAATGATGTCGCACTTGCAACAGTCAAATATGCTTTATATGGGGTATTCCTATTGTTTGCTAGTGGTGGAAAAAGGACTAAGATCTTTTAAAATAAAAGTAACAATACCACAATGAAAAATATTGCATTACAAGTAATAGTCCTGCATTCAAAGTCTTACCTAAGTAAAAATAAATCTATTGGTGGCAAAATGTACCAAAAGTAACATAAGTAAAAGTACTTGTTATGTAAACATCATTAGAATATCACCAATTCTCTGACATGTAGATGTAAGCAGCATTTATTGTTGTCTTTAATGTTGTCAAGCTGGAGCTGATTTTAACACATTTTACTTTTGAGTAATTCAGACTATAACGGCAGTGGCTACAGTACAATATTTCTTTATGAAATGCAGTGGAGTAGAAGTTTAAAGTAGCATAAAATGGACAGTCAAACAAAGTACAAGTACCTCAAAACTGTACTTGAGTACAGAATGGTAAATGTATTAGATGACATCCCATCACTGTTATTTACACTGTAAATGTAAATGTAAGCTATGATCACAGCTTTTCCATTACAGATAGGACCTTTAAATTAAAGGGGTACTCCACCAATTTTACATGTGTTACACATAAATTCAGTACCTGTTATGATGAATACTACTTAATATGTAAAAAAAAAAAAAAAAAAACGTGTTTGAGACAATACATTTATAATAAAAATCCTGCATCACAAACTGGGGAAAGGCTTTTTAAAGACATGACGATTTCCCAGGCTGATAAAGTCTAATGAAAGATGTTAAAGAGTTGTATTATGGGAAACGTAGGATAAATCATCCCTGGAACTTGATCCATACTAAGGATTTTGAAAAAAATCAGGGGTCAGCCTCTGCTGTATAAATTTTGTCCTGTAAGTTAATGGAAACACAATACTAAATAGCTGGAGTATTCCCTTAATCTTATGTAGGCTGTAAATCAGACATGATCAATAACCCAATTTGCATTAGCACACCCATCTTTATCATTTATACACCGTCTTCACCCAATTGAGATTATTGGATTGAATTAAGTTTTTTTTTATTTTTTTTATTCATTTATTTTTGGTTGTGATATATCATGTATGAGTTTGAATGCTGACCATATATGTCTGTGGATTGTAAATTCAAAAAGCATGTAAGGGAATGGCAAGCTATTTTTCAAGATATTCATTTTAATACTTAAGAGACAGGGACAAGAAAAAAAATCAGTGTACCACATGTACCAAACCTAAACACTGGTAATTTGTGTAGTGAACGGGCGAGGCGCTGTGCCTGCCTCATCTACTGTGTAGCCTGAGCTCCGCACAGACAGTGAGAGACAGCCATGGAAAGGTGGAGAGCGGACTGTTTTCTTTGTTATTTTTAAAGTCTTGCTGTTCGCAACTATGACACTGTTCGCGGTGACTTGTGCCGGTCCAAATGCCCGATGCACTCGAAAGCAGCAAGAAGATTTTCACCGGTTAAGTATATGTCACTTTTTTTCTCCTCCTCCCCTCAGCTCAGAGATTGGGATTGCGGTAGTCGGGAGATATGTGCCATCGCTTTGCTGGTTCTAAGTCTATTCGGAAATTGATGTGGGATTCCCTCTGTGTCCTCTGACGGTAGGGGAGAGGTTTGCGGTCGTCATGTTATTCGCTTAGTTTAGCGGTAGTTAGCGGATACAGCACAGATATTGAAAAAGGTGAATAGTGTGACAAAGTTGTGCACTTGTCGGTCAGCTACAGAAAGGCCTCTCTCGCTCTCTCTCTCTCTCTCTCTCTCTCTCTCTCTCGCTCTCTCTCTCTCGCTCTCTCTCTCTCTCTCTCTCTCTCTCTCTCTCGCTCTCTCTCTCTCGCTCTCTCTCTCTCTCTCTCTCTCTCTCTCTCTCTGTGTGTGTGTGTGTGTGTGTGTACGGAGTTTGTTTCTGGCTCCCCTCCCCCACTCGCCGCTGCTGTTCTGCTCATTCTGGAGAGGCCAAGACATGAATGTGATGAGAGGCTCACTTCAAAAGGAACAAACTGATTCTGTTTGAGTAAAAAAAAAAAAACTGAACTCGGCTGTGACCGGCGGAAATCACGCCTGGACCTCTCTGAATATTCCTGTCAAGCCACACACCTGTGACCGCAGAACCGTTCGTCTAAATATTAATGCGCTAACCGAACGTCTCTCGTGCCGATGCATCATCTTTACATACAGGTAGCGAGGAGCTAGTTTGACCAGATGATTAATGCCATATCATTTTAACTCCAGCATGGTTAAACTAGGCATGAGATGTGCTTGTGTTAACATTTTTATCATTATCATTTTCAGTCCCGCATACCTGGGCCTTCTGCACAGTGCACGTGCTGCTCACACTTTAGGATTGTGCAGAAAATAACACTGTTGGCAGTTTTGTCTGTGCTCTCTTTGTGCAATCAGTAAAATGATTAGTATGTGTATTGGACAAGACAGAGAGTGGGTGTGCCCTAAAGGGAATGATGTGATGGCAACCATTAAAAAAATATTTCTTGTGAAATCACAGATACAGTAAAGCTGGCCTTTTTGAAATTATTAACCTACTTTTTTTTTTTTCAAGATTTATTTCTAATCCCCAAACCATTAGAGTCAACTGTGCACAGAGCTATGAATAGGATAGTAATTTAGATTGAAGTCAAGGCAATTCATGTAAAATTTCTTTTAATTAGCCATTTACTCAGACACTTTTTGTTTTGATTGGTCTGAGCCTTTACTGTTCACCATGATTTTGTCCTGTCCACAGCTGTCAAGAAGGAGATTGGCACTAAAATGGTTACAAACTCTATTGGAAAATCTTAAATATAAGCAGTATTTACAGTCCGCATATGTGGACTACTGTGTCATTGCTCAGCAAGACAGCGCAGGGACAATATGTGAGAACCTGTACGTGTCCTAGAGCAAGACATTCACTCCCTAAAATCATTGCATATGCTATTCTGCAGCCGACCTTTCACTGTGATAGCAGAGGAAGGACACAAGTAGAGGATATGACACAAGGATCAATAAAGTATCATTTACAGTGCTGCTCATATCAGTTCATAGAGACATGAAGGCTGCTTCCTTATTGAGTTTATAAACCTCAAGTGAATTTATCACTGTGATGATACACTAATGCTAATCTGGATGTAACTGGAGTAGCTGTGTAAAGTAATGATATGCTTGTGCATATAAATCAGTAGGATATTACTGGATACTCCATTAACACTGCAGCATATTCATCCTACTGCCTAGTGGAAAGCTGCCTCTAGACTATCAAACCACATTAAAAGCCTTATGATTTCAGTTTTAAATTTCTGCTCAGGTTTTCAGATGCTGTGCTGAATCAGTGGCCACAGGTGCCAAGTGCATGACCGTTTCTTCAGTTTATTCTTGTACTGTCGCTTTGTGAGTTATTGTGTTTATTATGAAATGTAATAACACAGCTCACATTACCAGCCTACCATACTGAATGAACCAGAAGCTATGTTCTGGATTCAAAGTCTTACAGTAGCTTGTCTCACATTTTCAAATCCTCTGGATTTCTGCAGAATTTGCATAAATTTTAATGTTCAGCTGGAAATTGGCCACATGATGAGTTTTTCATGAAAACCTGATAAAAATGCATACTGTGCAGAATTCTAAAAATTCCCCACGAGGTAACAGTCCTCTGCTAACCGGGCGTATGGCACATAATCGATCAACTTTTTTTGTCGGCACTAGATGTTCATTTGAATTCACATGCACTTGGTTTCAATACATTGCTGCATAGACTTTTTTGCCATTCATTTCAGAATAAGTATTAAAATATCTTATAATAGTAGTTCCCTGTCAAGACTATCAATAGTCTGCCTTTCAGTGATTTGATGAAGCTGCGTCTCATTGTATATTTTTCCTCCTTGCAGGAGTTTTTTTGCAGTGGCATAAGTAGAAGTCTGGATCTAATAATTGTACAGTGTGGGCTCTACGGGGACGTGGTTTATGGATGCTGGGACTATGAGCATAAGCGACAAAAGGGGCTACTTAGCAGACCTGGGAGGCAGCTTCACTGAGGATGCTCCCAGACCTCCAGTCCCAGGGGAAGAAGGCGAGCTGGTGTGCAGTGATGGACGCCAAAGCAGCAACCTTGGCTTCTCTTCAAAGAGTGAGAGCCTCAAATGTGAGGCGTCTGTGGCTACACCCAGGCGACCTGACTTGGACCTGGGTTATGAGCCAGAGGGCAGTGCCTCTCCGACACCGCCCTACCTAAAGTGGGCAGAATCACTACACTCCCTCCTGGATGACCAGGATGGCATCCATCTGTTCAGGACGTTCCTCAAGCAGGAGGAGTGTGCAGACATGTTGGACTTCTGGTTTGCGTGCAGTGGCTTCCGCAAACTTGAAGCCAACGAGGGTAACGAGGAGAAGAAGGTTAAACTTGCAAAAGCTATCTATAAGAAATACATCTTGGACAACAATGGAATTGTTTCCAGACAGATCAAACCGGCTACCAAGTCCTTCATCAAAGACTGTGTGATGAAGCTTCACATTGATCCTGCAATGTTTGACCAGGCTCAGACTGAGATACAGACTATGATGGAGGAAAACACCTACCCTTTATTCCTTAAGTCTGACATTTATTTGGAATATACGCGGACAGGAGGAGAGAGCCCTAAGCTGTACAGTGATCAGAGCTCTGGGAATGGAAAAGGACTGTCGGGTTATTTACCGACTTTAAATGAAGATGAGGAATGGAGATGTGACCATGAGTCAGAAGAGCAGCCAGAGTGTGACCCCACACCGAGCAACCGGCTTACTCAGAAGCTGCTAATGGAGACGGCACCACAGCGAGTTGCCAACAGTGCGAGATTCCAGGACAGTCACGAGTACAGGTAAATCCTCCCAGTAATCTAGAAAGCTTCACTTCAGCTCTAACTACACAGCTTTTCACTGCAAACTGCTGAACTAGAAATAAACCTGAAACCCCACACCACCATGAGCACTGCCTCAAGTTTGAAAAGAAAACAGAGTGTAGCACAAGAGACAGCTGAGATAAGAGGAAGATGGTACGTGAGGTGAATCTTAAGTTAACTTGGTGTTAGAAGGCTGAAGAAGTGTTCTTTGTTTTTCTTGTTTGCGAAATAATGTGTTTTCCCATTGGACAGGGTTTTGTAGTGAAAGAGCTCAACACTATTTTGTTTCAAGAGGAGCTTTCTGTAATCTTTGCCCTTCTCTTCCTCTTAATATTAAGTCTGAATTTATGTTTCTGAAACAGTTTCTGTAATGAAATGGCCAGCTCCCTTTTTATATTTTTTTATCCACATTATAACATTATCTTAAATGCAAATTTGCTGTGAACTTCCTGATGTACTATTTAAAAGACGATGTGCCCTTTAAAGGTAGACCCATTTTTTATGGTCTTTTGCATCAGAATCAATACGAAAGCGTTGTTTTATTTTCATTTTCTAACCCTCAACTGACAAAAACACTGGTAGTTTAGAAAGTTTGTGATTACTTTGGACTTTTTTGCTGCAGTGCAGTGGTTGAATGTGTTGGCCAGCAATGTTTGTGCAAAAGCAGCGTTCAATCTGTGGCGTCTCTGCTTTGAAATGCTTTTCATTTTCAGCATGTTCCGTCAAAGTAAATTCACCCAGATGTTGATATAATTTCTGCAGTGCCAAATCTGCTGGTGCCTGCTGATTGATGCTGAGAAACATTAATGTTTTGTCATTTCAGTGTGCCTGTAAAGGCATAATTAGAGGGCTGTACCAGGATTTAAATTCAATGTTCAGTTGTTTTGTTTAATCCAGTGCCAGTTATCCTGGACAGAATATTGATGTTAACTTTGTTAATTGCAGCCACTCAGCTGAATGACCAGCATCTCTCCTGCTCCTTGACTGTTTCTCGTCCTGTGATGACTGAGTCGTCTGCATTTTGTGGCTCTTTGCGATTCTGGCAGATCCAGTTAAACTATCTTTACCAGCCACGGCAGCGTGTGGCTGGTTTTGTTTTCACCTTGTGCGTTTGTGTGTGTGTCATCATGGCAAAATATTCGTGTTGTATAGGGGGAACTCCCACAGAGGCGGCTTTGAGTTCTTTGGCAGGTGATTATATGTCTGTGGGTGGATTTTTGTCACCACTATAGCGTCACACCTGTTCAAGATAGAGTCACGAAACTTTACGGGTGTGCAATTGAGATCCAATTGAATGTTCAAAGATGGGCATGGTCACACCTCTGAGTATGTAATAATATAATTATAATGTAGTGATGACTATTGAGTAGTCATGTTGGAATGTCAACATGTTGACAGCTGTCGACTGGTTTTAGCCTAATGTTGGTCCTTTGCAAAATTTACACCGATGCTGACTTTGACATGACAGATTAATTGAAGTGATGAGTAATTTAGTCTAAACACACCCTTCTTCTTCACTCTGAGGGAGGAATTGAAAATAATTACGTTACATTACGTTCATACATTCACACATGGGTATATTCTACAATGTAAACATTACACTTACTTCCTGTATTTATTCTGTTCAGTTGATTCATCAAGGCAGCTACATCTTATCATACACCGCCAATATATTTGAATGTCTCCATGGGACAGGTGGTTAAGAAGAACAAAACCTACTTAAATTATGCAACTCAAATAGAAGGATTTCGTCATGTTGACAAAAGGTAATTCTTAACCAGTTATTGACCAGTTGAACTAGTTGAACAGATCTTTTAATTTGTCCTCTCGCCTTTTCGTAAAGTAGTTTTGTCTCATAGATTGCATGTAAAGGGATGTCTGACAGTGCTGCCCATGTGTGATTGAAAACTGTGATACTGAATATTGATCTACACTGGTTATTATAATTGTATGTCATCATTTTCCACAAAGAATAATCCTGTAACAAATGTGCAGCTTGCACCATCTGACAAAACTATACAGATGATAGAAACATGGTGAGATACAAAGAGGAAAAGAAAGTGTCCACAGCATTGTTTTCATGGAAGACATTTCGACACAGGTGTAAATAATAAAAGCAGCGATGTTTGAAATTCCTTGAAGGAGCTATTTGTAAGTTTTGCTATCGCTACATAGACAGCATTAGCATTATTAGCTGTTTACTTACCAGTCTAGAAGAAACGTGAGTTCAGCCTAAAACATTTTTTCCTTTACTCACCAAGAGATGTCTCCAGTGGAATCTACTGGTTAGCTTCTGGTCTGTTACGGGGCATTTGAATATTGATATTTTTTGCTTTGAATCTGTCTACTGCACAGCAGCCAGTAGGATGACAGGAAAGGACAGATGCTGTTTAATGCTTTAGGACTCTGAGTAATCATTCTGTGTAGACTTTACTCAACATACTCGTGTTCCTTCAGCATAAGAAATTGAAATGATGATAAATGAAAAGTGGCATTAGGAACTTGCTACAATCATCATCAAATGAAATCATAAGTAACTGCTCGCTGCCAGAACTTAAATTATGTCACTGCTGATTTAAACTTGTAGAACTTGTTATATATAATGAGGTTACATCTCCAATTGAGGATTATGGTTGCCCGCAGTAAATAGAAAAACATCCAGCAACAACATGTTAGGTGTCATCTTTCTGAGGTCAGTGGTCAGTAAATCCAGCGAGGAAACTGAAGACCCACCAACATGATCACAGATATTGTTTAGTTTACAGCAATGTTGTTCCACAGCAGAAAAATCGTATTGTTTTTGACCTCTGCTGCTGCGGCACCAGAGGATGGACAGGGATTCACACAAGCCAATAAATAGACGATACTTTCCAGTGCTCCCAGGCAGTGGAGGCAAAAAAAAATCCTGATTACAGTTTAACCAGTGAAAGTGTCATGACAGAACTAGAATCAGACCTGCAATCGACTGGGTAGCTGCAGCTGATGTTTTTCCTTTTCTGCCTATTTCTATGGTCTAATCTTGTTGTGGCTCATCGTCATCATTCTCCTGTGTTTGCATGCAGCTTTTCTGGTTGAGTCAAATACTTCTTTAGTGCGAGAACGATTTGTTAAAAGAAAAAAAAAAAACCTAACCAAAGGCAGTTTTGTTGGAATTCGATGTTTGCTTGAAATCTCCACAAAAATATAAGAGAAAAAGAAAAAGTTGAGACAACTAAGCACCACAGGCATTTCAGCCATTTGAGTTTATTTTCTCATCATTATTTCAGCGATGAAACATTTTGCTGGAATTACAGAAAGACACGCTTCATTTTTAAACAGCTTTTCATCCTCAGCCTTTGGGTTTTTATGAAACTAAATTTTACATCACTTGTGTCTGATCTCTACAGAGACAGGCAACAAAAGACATTAAACAGTCTTTCAGATCAACTTTTAAAAAAAACCAAATGACTTGAAAGAGAATGACCTGTACATTCATTAATGTTTAGGAAGCTTTTTTTGAAATTTGAACATGTCTGTTTTGTTCTCATTCAAGTGAAATGTATACTTCAAAGGCAAGACTTCATTGTCTTTGTAATATTAATAAAAGTTGTTGTTGCCCGTGAGTGATCTGATGAGGGTCTGCATGCCATGAAGTTGACATTTTTATGTGCAATGTTAAAGGAAAAACTCTGTATTCAGTTAATAAGTATATTGAGTTTGGAGTCAGACCTTTTTGTTTGAGAAAATTAAATAATGCGTTTTCTTTTTTTATTATGAGATTTTTGGCTTTTGCATGTAGTTGACATGAAGGACAGGCAGGTTGGGTAGAGGCAGGAGAGAGAAGGGAATAGCATGAGGAAGTTGTGATTACATGGCAGGCAGCTCAGGACACGGTGGTCGACCATGATCTCAAAAGTGAAATGTATGTTTGACAAAAAAAACTAAAACAACTGAAATTCTTTAGATTGTAAGTTGAGCAATTAAAACCTGCACAGATGTGGCCAACAGAATACAGTATGATTACACTGTAGATGTTAAATATGTCCTGAAAGAATTACTTCAGAGTTTATTGAGGGCTTTTTTTCTTTTTTTCTTCTATAATCAGGTGTCCACGTGAACGTTGAAACAGTTACAGTTACAGAAACCATTAAGAGATATCCCAACATGCTTTCATTGTAAGCGATGGGGGACATAATCAACAGTATGCATTCTGTGCATTAAAATATGAGGCCTTAGCAGTCTGAGTTAATCAAGTAAAGTTAATACATTTACGGCGTTTTTAGTATAGAATTAATTCTCATTTTCCCAGATAGAGTTGATTTTCTGAGCAGCAGCTAAGTTACAGTCATACAAAGACGAAACCTTGTGCCACAAACAGTGTAGCACTTTAACACAATAGGTTTTTCAATAAATCATTTCTGTATAGCTCGTGCCGTGCCGTATTCTAACTGGTATTTTGCCCTTATGACCCTCTAGCTGCTCGTGGTCATGATAGTTTTGAGAGAAAGAAAAAGGAGGATTATTAATCTAGATCTTGGGAGCATTTTCTCAAAACAAAAAGCAATAAATGGAGAGTGTACAAGGAGTAATACTGTATGGCCCTGCCTGGAAAGCTAATGCACTTATGCTGTTTTAATTTTGTACAACCTGGAATTTTTAGAGCTTTATTCTTTTAATAAGATAGTTTAACTAACATATTTTTTTTTTTGAGTATGATACAATGCAACAAAGAGATAAGTGAACCAGAAACATTATGTAGAACCAGATCAGGAAAAACACTGAACCAAGCATTGAACCAAGTGAAGGTCGAATGATTTTACACGATTACTGAAACTCCTGAGCTGCTGTTATCATTTATTTTGTGGTTATGAGAAGTTATTGTTCTCATTAATTGTCGGGGAACTGTGAGCAGTGTTGCAGGACAGCACTGCTCTAAGAATCATGTCGAGTGTCGTGCGTCAAATAACAGATTGCCTTATGGCGACTTTTCAGTCTTTTCCGTGTCATTTCCTTTTGTTTCTCATTATCAGAAACGCTGCCACATACAATCACAACTTTGAAAATCCGCAGACTGCATTTTGTTTTGTTTTTTTTATTCGTTCCAACTCTTCACCAACCCTCCACAGAAATTATTCATTGTTGTTGCACATAGATGCTAATGAAAATCAGTTGGTCACAAAGGTTTCATTTTGAACTCTGTGTGCTTCTGCATTCCAAACAGGGAGAACGCTTGGGATAAATGCTTCAGGGAATTGCAATTTGAATTAAGAAAAAAAAAAAGAAAAAAAAAAGATGATGCCTAACATCTATAATTCATGTGTGCAGAGCCCTGTAAGAAATGTGTTCAGCGAAGTCAATGACTGAGAATATAAATGGTGTCAAATGAAGTTTGTGTGCATCATGATGAGGATGGATGTTATTTTTAATACTCTGGTATTGAATTTGGTGCGTGTACAAGGTGAGGTTGACCAGCTGCAGGACAGGGAGTATCGGGGGGGCTGACAACCATATTCATTGCATGTTCATCAGAATACCTATTTGCCTGTGCCGTGGTTAGATTCGCTTGGAGTGTACTGCCTGCCTAGTGCTCACAATCGCCCAAGAATATTGGTGATTTCCATGGCATCCTGTAAACTACAGCATGCATGTTACAAACATGCTGTAGTTTTCACGCTTCCTGCTCTTAAATGTAAAAGATTTAATGCTTTTCTTTGTCATAAATGAGAATAAATAGAATATCTTTGGGTTTTGGTGGAACAAAAGAAGACATTTGAAGCCAGCACCTTGGGATGTAGTAAATTATAAAGGACATTTTTTTACTATTTTTTGGTGTCCTGTAGACAAAAAGATTAATTAATTGATCAAGACAGTAATCATTAGATAATAATCATTAGTTGCAGCCCTACTTGCATCGGCTCCCTCGTAGTTTTCTAACCAAACCAGAAAGAAGAGGAGTGGAAAAGACATAATCTTGTGGTACAGTGATGAACATATCTGCACAGATTTTCTATTACAATAACCATTCATGATAAAGCAACACTGTATGTTCTTAATTTAGGATTCTACTTTAGAGCTCTGTACTGTCTTTATAAATGTGTTCTTACGAACACGTCTATCACCTCATGGTCCATTTGGGAAATTGAGTTTTTATTTCTCAGCACTTCCTGTATTTCTTTTCTCTTATTTTTTTTTTTTCCAGGCATGCACCATGTCGGGAGCCCATCAACCCGTACTACGTCAACACCGGCTATGCTATGGCTCCCGCCACCAGCGCCAACGATAGCGAGCAGCAGAGTATGTCCAGCGACGCAGACACAATTTCCCTCACCGACAGCAGTGTGTATGTATTTTCTCATCGCACACACTCTCACTCACATATGTACAACACTTTTCATGCATAACGTTGTAACACTAGGTCATAAAGGCTATGTCAGGCTGGAACACCAGAGCATTAACATCAAAAAGAAAGACAGGACCCAAGTCTTTACTAAGTATTCCCAGTTGTTATTTAAAAGGACGGCATGTCGTATAAGTTTGCATCTCTGGAAGACAGAAATAAAGGTTTAATTGGCTTCGAAAATTGCACTCCTTGCCCATTTACCCTGTGCTCAAACTTTACAGCAAGAGCAGCAACTAAAGTCCCATCTGCTCATTAGCCATACCAGTAAAAGCTGTTAGAATTGATCTGTAATGCTAATTAGGAATCCTAAAAACACTCTTGTAGCAGACATTAAACCACGTCTGATAGAATGTATTTAAATGGAAATCCTAACCTACTGACCTCTTTTGAAAACATGAGACAAGAGCAGATTTTAGACGTTTCCAAATGATTATTTATAGTCGTAGTTCTTAATTTGCAGCGAACAAAGCAAATGATTTTTCTCTTTTCACAGACAACTTTGTTAGTCCGCAAGCAGGAGAGCTAAAGGCAAAGTATTCTAACCGTATGGGATCACTTGAAGCGGGACTTGTTTTTCAGTTGCCAGGCGTGAAACCAGGCATGTGCTGGTGAAAGAAGATTTGAAAAAAAAATAAATAAATAAAAAAATGTTTTAAAGGTGCAGAGATGGCACAGGCGAATAAAGCCAAAGAAACTTCAAAGCTTGCACAACTGGACAAAAAATGTTTTTGAAGCTGAATGGATTAGAGGCTGTTATCAGCTAATTGGTCCAGAGCTTCCAGCACAGGAGAGTGTAAAACCCAGCATGGCCAATACCACATGGAATTACAGACTTGTGGACGTGTTAACATGTAACTGTAATCTGCCAGACCACTTGTGGTGTAGGAGGGACACAATAAGCCAGTGAGAATACCTGTCCCGCACTGATTAATCAAGACTTACCAGGTGTTTCGTTTTTAGGAAATAACGCAGTGAAAAGCGTTCAACTTCAAAGCTGCCTGTGTTGTTTATTCATGAGGATGTTTTCTGAAAATGTCTTTGTTGTTCATTTTAGAGATGGGGTACCACCCCACAGATACCGCAGACAGCATCGCCGGGAGATGCACGAAAGTGCCAAAGCAAATGGGCGAGTGCCACTACCTCATATACCAGTGAGTTATTCATGGGTTATTTCCCTTTTTCCTCTCACTTTCTGCCTCTACACCTCTCTCGCTCTTTAACTGTCTGTCTCTGCCTTATTTTCCTCCGCTTCCACCATCGGAGATGTGCATATTTAGGCTCTGCTGTGTCGCAGGGTCTGTGATGGAGTGTAAGAATAGCTGATGGTGAAAGAGAAGGCTGTCTAAATGCAGCTTGATGCTTTCATAAGCTGTGTGTGCTGAAGCCTAGCAGACATGAATCCTCCCCTGTGACAGCCTGATGCCTCCCTTTGCAGCTTAGGCTGTCTCTTGGTAGGAAAACCCCGGCCCTAATTAGGCCGCGGAGTAAAGAGTCAAATTAAAACTCCACACGTAGCATCCTATTAGGATGCATGAATTGGCTGTATAGTAGAGTACAAATCCCCAAAGCATAACTCTCACGTTGCCCTGCCCCAACAAATTAATCATGACTGCACTTCAGTGGCAATAAGAAGATTGATGAGGCTTTTAGGTCGCCTTTTTTTAATGTCACTTTGTTTTTTCATGATTGCAGCACAGTAACTCGTGCTATCAGGAGAGGAAACAAATATCACCCATGCCCTTAGTAATGAGATTATGTGTGTCATTTCAAATTACACTTCATTTATTATCCTCCCATTTTTAGAACAAAAAAATCAGTGTCAAATCTAGGTTGAATTCTTCTTGCTGCGGACTCCCGTATCAAATGGATATACAGTGGAAACGGCTTATAGTGATCAGGTTACAGTGAACAACTGCTCATATGGATCTAAAAGCTTGGGACAGAATCATTCCTGTACAGATACGGTTTAAATAATTCATTTATGATAATCAAGTAGTCTGCTTGCACTGCTCATTTTGGGTTTTTACACACATGAAAACATATGAAGAAAAAAAAAACTGTTATCTCATGCTTTAATTTATTAGTATGAGGTGTTTGTATTGCTGGTGTGTAACCCACGTCCATGTGATATCTTCACCACCGTGGCTCAGTGACCCTCCTGCTCCCGCTCTGCTGGTGTTTTGGGACTTTTTTTTTTTTTTCCCAGTGTGTAATTATCGTCCCCGCTCTCTCACAGCTGCAGGTGTGTTACGTGAGTGGAGTGTAATGTTTTCACCCTGATCCATCCAGACCAGGCCTGGAGCAGGAGAGGGCCACGGCTCAGTTTATGATGTCTTGTTTCATTGCTTTATATTCATGTAATAAATATACAAATATCAAAGTAGATGGTAATCTGCAGGTGAAAAGAAAGAGAAATACTATTACTAGTTATGGTTATGGCTTTAATGGTACGTTTCGCTCCAAGCTGTGTCTCAAAATCACACACAGGAGGTACGGGAATGACGGGATGTAAAGAGTCAGGGCGGTAGAACTGTACAGTACTGCAGCGGTGGCAGAAACACGCTTACAGTATGACATCTCTTCCCCCCCCCCCCCCAGCGCACAAACCGGATTCCAAAGGACATTCATGTGGAGCCAGAGAGGTTTGCTGCAGAGCTGATCAGCAGACTGGAGGGCGTGCTGAGGGAGAGGGAGGCTCAAGAGAAACTAGAGGAGCGACTGAAGAGAGTCCGACTGGTATGTTCACTGTTTAAAGCACAACCGGGGCTGATGTTCTGTTAATTTAGGTTAACGCGTGCTCACAAGAGTCGCAGCAAGAGGTTCACAGTGGAGAGCAGAGTCTGTAGGCTGAGTGACCTCCTCTCCGGGAACAGGAAGGGACATGTATGTTTTTCTGCTCGGATTTTCTCATCTTTTTACCCAGTAAAGTTATACATTCAAGTCAAGTTAGGATTTCAATGTTACTGCCACCTTTTGTTAACTTTGGTGACACAAGCTGAATAATATTAGTGGCCAGAGGGAGGGGGGGGGGAGAGAAAATTGGAAGTGTGAAGTTTTAATGTAGAAGCAGTTTCGCCATTTTTTTTCTAGATAAATCGATTATATTGTCAGTAAAATGGTGGAAAATAGTGAAAATATTCACAATGTCCCAGAGTCCATGGTGCCAACTTCAGATTCTTTGGTTCTATGTGACCAAAAAATGAAAAATTACCAAAACAATGAACTGATGATTAAAACTGCTGCTGATATAGTTTGATGTCGATTGAATAAACTTGGCTCGAGAAGATGTTTTATTATGAAAGACCCAAATAAGTGTAAAGCTTCTGGTCAGAGCTGTTGTGATCTCATTTTAAATCCTCATCCTTTAATTGTTAATATCAGAGCACTCTTTTTTTTTTCTACTTTCATTTTCTTTAATAAAAGAATGATTCAATAAATTCTGACCATAGATGGTTGAATAGCAGACTGGTGGATGAGGAGTAGTATCAGGTAGAAGCCAGAAAGCGAGATGTGTGCCTGGCCGCTGGGCTTAAACTTTCCAATAACAAAGGAGACTTAAATCCGTCTGGCCTTAATGAAATTAATGAGGCCAGCCATGTGAATGGGGAGTAAAAACACATGAATCATTTGGAGGATGCCGTCCTTGGCCTGTCAGCGATCTGGCTTCGTCGATCAATCGGATGGAGCACCTGCACACTCGCCCACTCGTAAGCCTGGAACAATGTGCCGCCTGTTTGATGTTTGACTTGAACGCCGATGAAATGGTCGCTGCAACCACAAATGAAATCTCCGTCAGTACACGGCGCCAAGTATTAAGTCTCAAGGCAGACAATTCGTGCGGTTTGGCCCCGAAAGGAGAGAAGCTGCCATCGCACAGTTAGAGGTTTGCTTTATTAAACCTGGAGGCACGCATGAAATGACTGCCTTCATCAAGTGATACTGTGTGCATCTGGAGCAGGACGTGGACTCGGGGCTCAGCTCTTTAACCGTGATATCAGCGGTATTAAAATGATATGGTTATAATGCATGAAGAATTTCTGCAGCATAAAAATCCGTCATCCGGTTAAAGATTGATGTTATCATTTTATTGCTGTGAGAAAACGATCGTGACGACGTGAGGAACTCTTTCCCACAGCTCTTGTCACACAGTCCTCTAAGAATGAAATTATAGCTTCACCTAACATAATTCTTTGGAACAATGGGCCCTGTAGTTCAGCTCTGCACAGGATAATTCACACACACACAAGAGCAGCAGCGTGCTATTCACATAAATAAATGAACGGCTGAAAGATCATGTGAGCGGGATGGTCGTGGTTCGCCTGAATCGTTTTTTTTATTTGGTGTTAACAAGGTAACAGAGCATGCAAGCATGTGCGCTATCAGTCCTCATAATGAGAGGCATGCTGTTGTATGAATGAGCTAGCAGATCATCAGTAAATCCCCAGGAGCCACCTAAGCTAACTTGTAGAGCGTCAAATATCTGCTATTGTTTGCCGAGGGATTTTCAAAATTTTATTTTCAGATGGGGGGAAAAAAAATGTGCTCGAATGAAGATGTCACGGTTCCACGAATAACTTCCAGTGGGCTCAGCGAACGCAGATATCTGGAGCTGGTGCATAGACACATAGAAGCATCAGTTATTAAAAACATGCCAAAAAAAAAAAAAAAAAAAAAAAAATTTGGCTTCGTGCGGCGTCTTTTAGAGCATTGCTTGGATTTAAGGAAGCAGTGGGAACAGGGAAGTTGAGATTATGTAGGAACAGGCTGAGAATGCCTCTGCTCCGCGTTTGATGTGGTCATAGCAAACGGAGGGTGAGCACAGGGCAATAACAAACTCTTTTTTTTTTTTTCTTTTCTTTTTTGGCATGTTCACAAGTGAAGGTTTATTTAATTATTAACATCACTGACATTAAAAAGTTTGGGCATGAGCTGGCAAGAAAATAAAAGAGAAACCCCTACCTACTGTTGTCTTTCCACTATACCCCTTTGTTCTCTCCCCTTCCTCCTCTCTCTGCCAAAGTGTTTCTAACTTTACACAGGATGCCGTTCAGATAAAAGCTCCGCCGTATGGTGCTCACTGCTCCAGCTGTATTCGAACACTGGGGAAATAATTTAGCTTTAGAATAAAATGTTTGCGTTAGAATTTACGTTTCCTCGTGATTTTTGCAGTAAATCCGAACCTGACCAGTTTGAACCGACTGAATTTCTCCATCGACCGCTGTGTTTTATTTCATCACTGCACGTCCTCCCCTCCCCTACAGGGCCTGCTTATCGAAACCTGCTCTGAATGCCTGCAGCAGCCCGACCTCATGATTCCCTCCCCCCGGGGCAGATGCTGTCAGAGCTGAGGCTGTATTTGTTGCATTTGTCATTACATGAACATAAATGTGCTTTGTGCATGCATACTGCCCTGAATCTAACTGGAACTGTTGTATTGCTGGTTTGTCTCCAAACCTCTGCAGTAAGAATGAGAGGACACGTGGTGAAAATCTGCCACCTGCAGGTTGAAATGTGTACAACATGCACCCTCGTGGAAACGATCCTCAGTTTTGTGAAATGTGTTAGGAAATAAATAGTTAAAATAATATAATGCATGCAGATATATTTTATATAGTTTAGTTTTATTAACATGTTATATGCATAATGTATATGAATTTATATGCCACAGATATTCAGTGCCCTGTCCTTATAAATAGGCTTTATATTTCCAGATTTTTAGTCTGGGTTTAATCTTTTCCTGTAACTGATGTTTGTTTTGTTTTGTTTGTTTCTGTACTAAAGGAAGAGGATGGTGATGAAGTCATCACGTCCACAGCTGTATCATTAGCCGGTCACAGGTTCCCCCCTGGTGCTTATCCGCAGAATTACAACTCCCGCTACGCTGACATCGCCTACAGTGGTAATTTTCTGAGAGATGCACACGAGGAGAACCCAGAGAGCATCCTGGACGACCACGTCCAGCGGGTCATGAGGACTCCCGGCTGCCAGTCGCCAGGGACGGGGCGCCATTCTCCCAAGTCGCGCTCACCGGACAGTTTTCCAGGGGGCAAAGGGATGGGAGTTGGAATGCCACTGTCGTCAGGCCAGGGTAAACACCCATCCAGGCATGGTGTTAAGGGAGAGACCAGCCACCTGTACCACCACAAACATGCGCATCACATCCACCACACAGGCGCTGGGAAGCCCAAAGAGCAGGTGGAGGCCGAGGCAGCCGTACGTGTGCACGGCAGCTTTCCCTGGGGCATGGAGACGAGTCATTATGGATCAAAGTCTCGCAGCTACGCCGATGGCATGGGATCCAACCCCATGGAGCATACAGGGTACAGGTACGAAACACAAGCATTACTTCCTGTACCCAGAATATTTTTTTTTTTTTTTTTTTTACCTCTTACCAATTTTTTTCTTCCATTGTGCAGTAGCAAAGGTGGCACACAGTGTAAAAGAGTGTACAAGAAAGGTGAGGATGTGCGGCCGTATGACATGCTGGGGCCGGGAGAAGAGATGGAGAAAAAACAGAAGATCCTTTTGTGGCTGATGGAAGGACAGAAAGAAATGGTTCAACATAAGAGGAGCCCATACGGGTCAGTGATGACAGTTAACTTTATCTGAGTGCAAGCGTTCCCAACTGCCTTTTTACCACCTTCTGTGCTTGGTCTGAAACATTACTGGTTGTGTTGCCATGGAGGAAAGCTTTCCCGTTCCATAGCAACAATTTGGCAACAGTTTTTTTTTACCTGTTTATGTAAGCGAAGATTTCCACAGACCCATGAGTGTGTCTCTGTTACAAACTACATTTCAGGAGCACCGCTGGGTCAAAGAGGACTACGGGCCATGAGGGATCCCGTCTTAGCTCGGTGGAGAGGTCAGGCTCGGCGTACCCGTGCGTCAGCGCCCAACTGCGGAACAACGTGCAGCCGTCTCACCCTTTCATCCAGGATCCCACCATGCCCCCCAACCCAGCTCCCAGCCCCCTCATCCAACTGGAGGAGGTTTGCCGGCGGCTTGAAGAGGAGAAGATTAAGTCAGGAACTTTACAGCCCAAGCAGAGGTAAGTAGACGGACATGTCTCATCGCCACGGTTACCTGTCCGGTTAAGAAATGCAGTTTTTAAACAGAATCTATTTGACTTGCTCCACGGGGGAAGAAGCTGGATCTGTCCTCTTAGTCATTTTGTCTAAATGAAACAGTTGCCCTTGTGTTCTCTAGCCTGTGTGCTCCTTTAGCGCCAGTCTGTGTCTAACTGCTGGGGTTGTTCGGTCCCTCAGGTATGTGATGGAGGTGATCCAGAGGGGTCGCACCGCAGTCAGACCTGCACTGTTCCCTCCGCTCAGCGTGGTGCCCGCCGTTTCTGACAGCGAGTTCTCCGAGCCCGAGTATGTCCACTGTGTCTTACCAGTAACTTCTCCCACTGTCCCCAAATTCCCCATAGGTCACGCCAACCCACCTTACCTCCCATTTTCATCACTGGTAGTTAAGTTACCCAGGACTATGTGTGTTTGTAGAACTACTAAAAGAGGCATTTAGAAATCAGCAATTAATTCCCTCCTCTGTGTGCTGTATGTCATCCCTGAGTTTGTTTGGTATCTTGTCCAGTTTTCCCTGTGTTCATTAATGTTGGAATGAAACTCAACCAGCTGAAGATGCTCGCTTTTACATGGCGTGTTGCATGTTATGCCAGTGGAGGCTATTGAGCAAGCAATAATGTACAATAGGATGTCCAGAAAAAGGAAAGCAATGGACCAAGGTTATAATAATTTAAAATTTTTCATTAGTTTTTATATTTATTTTGTTTGTTTTGTGTATTTTTGCTTTTCAATTAGAGTTTAGTTTGAATTAGTTTACTTGTTTAGTTTAGTTTTATTTTTTGAAAATGCTTATTTTACTTTAGTTTTTAGTAGTTTCAGTGTTAGTTTTAGTTTTTTAGGGGCATGATTCAAAAAAAGTATTGTGTAACCATTGTACCATTTTAAAAATGTATTCAGAAATATTCAACTAGACAGAACAACAGAAAACAACAGTATATGAAATGTAAATATGGGCACAAGTAAGTAAAAAGTCAACACAAGATGCAGCATTAAGTGCAAAATGTGTGTAATTGTGCTTCTGAGGTGAGATACAGGTCAAGTCAATCCGAGAAAAAAAACTCAAAATTAACTCGGACTGCACAGCTCTAGTTGTAGATGCTGCAGCTCTACGGCTCATCACTGCAGTTAATTAACAATAAAATACTTCTCATGTTGTACTTTACATCATCCATACAGGGAATGTTTCGGACACTTAAAATGCACATGCACTGGTCGTACACTGAGAGCCACACAGCTGCTAAGATACTGCTCCATCGGGCACAGCCGGAAGATAGATTTCATATCCACCCAAAATACCATAGGCTTATGTATGAAATAAACTGACAAAGACAAAAACTAAAGATATTTTGTAGTTTATTTTAATTCGTTTTGGAAACACACAATACAGTTTCAGTTCTCATTTGTTTATTTTTATTTTTATTTCAGTTAACGAAAATATTTTTTCACATCTAGTTTCCGTTATTTGGTTAGCTGTAGTTACTGATATCCTTGCAATGGACATGGGTTGGGTTTGCAGTATCATTATCACACCTATATAATGGCTACTTTATAAAGGAAAGTCGTTGTGATTTTAACACACACCTGCCAACCACTGAGGAAATAGCTACTTTTAATGACCCTGGTATAAAGAGTATAAATTACAAGGATCAGGCTTGATGGTAGAAAACATTTCAGATCTCTTGCTTGTTATTTCCCACAGAGATGATCACAGAGGAAGTAGACGTGTATATTTTCTGTGTTCATGCAAAGGCAGATTCCGGCCGGAGTATCTTTTTTTTTTTTTTTTTGATGTTTTGTCAGAAACATGTTTCTGTTTGATGTTTGACTGCCGTCTCAGATGGGTACTTAACAGATGGAGGGGAACTGTGTAAGAGGCAGATGAAAGGCAGGTTACGAGGCTCTGCCAGTGGGCGAAGCCTCTGGTCAGACCTGTGAGGACCGGGGGTTCAGTCCTTCAGTAGTCGGATCACGAAGACTGACTGAACCCTTCACTACCTCCAGTGTACACACTCAAAGATGTGGGAAAAATACAGCTGAGGGATTGTAATTTGGAAAAGATGGAGGATGTTGGTCATGAAAAAGACAGCGAAATATCAACAGTAAAAAAAAATACTAGTAAAGCAAGGTAACTTATAATTATTATTATTATTATTTATTTATCCATTTTTGGATTGTATGGATCTAGACCGGGGGTGATGGTTGTGCACAGGTATCCCTTCAAATAAGACTGGGGGGCGGTTGTGTTCTCAGCTCAGGAGGGAGTCGTGCATTAATCAGGAGGTTGGTGGTTCGATTCCCAGTTCGCCCGGCGCTGTGTCAAAGTGACCTTAGGCAAAACAGTGAACCTCAAAATTGGCCCCAATGTAACATCGGTCTGGGTGAATGTGGCTTATAGTGTCAAGTGCTTTAAGTGGTCAATAAGACTAGAAATGTGCTATATAAGTTCAGTGCATTTACCATTTACCTTCGAGACAGGCATTAAATGTGTGCCGATTTAGCTATTAGCAATTCCTATTTGCTGTCTACCCGTGGACCTACAAACAACTATCACTAGATAGCTTTGATACTACAGAGAACCTAAAAACATGATGATTCACGGGCAAGTTCTGGAGTTATAAGAAATATCTTTTATTTATATTCTCAAAGTGGATTTATGGACATTTACTACTGACGTGTGTGTGTTCAGTTTTGACTTGAGTTACGACTCTGATGAGGAGTGCTATATTATTATAGCTGTGTGTGTCATAGCAGCTGCAGAGTTTGAAAACCTTTCATCTGCACCAATATTAGAAACTAACAGATTTCATCTCAAGAGCGTTCATCTGAATTACCCCATAATATCCTGTCATGAAAATTGTATGCCCCCCTATGGCCAGTTGCAAAATTGGCCACCTCCTGCTTGTTGTCATCTTTAATTTAGAGGACAGATGGATACAACGTTGTGTAATATGTTGACTAATTGACATTCATTGACATCACTCAGCTGTGGGGTGGGGAAAATACATTTATATCTGATACTTTTAGTAGCTTGATCACTCTCACACAAGCCCGTTGCCTGTTGTCAAAAAACTGTCAAAATGTCAAAAAATACTGAATAACCTGGCAGATATTCGTGGCTTTAGCACTGTTGCCTCACAGTGAGAAGGTTGTGGGTTTGAACCCCCGGACTGGGACCTTTCTGTGTGGAGTTTGCCTGTTCTCCCTGTGCCTGCATTGGTTCTCTCTGGGTACTCCGGCTTCCTCCCACAGTCCAAAGACCTGTACATTAAGTTAACTGGCAACTCTAAAGTGCAGAAAAGGTATGAATGTTTGTGCAAGCGGTTGTTTGTCTCTATATGTTAGCCCTGTGATAGACTGGCGACCCTGTTCAGGGTGTACCGTGCCCTCGCCCATTGTCAACAGTGATTGGCTCCAGCCCCCCCGCGACTCTACAAGGATGAGCAGTATAGATAATGGATGGATGGATGTCTGCTGATGACATTTTCCCTGCCACCATGATACAATAGAGGACCTTGGTTCTGGTGCTCTAAGCATCTAAAAATAACATCTGAACTCAACATGGCATGGCTTTCCAGGAACACTGTTCCAGATGCTCACAGTAATCCACTGAGCTTTCTGTATTTTAAGCTATTTTCTACATTGGGAGAAAATAAAAAAACTGTCCACTGCGAAATCTGTAGATATTTTGTTTTTAAGCCTCATTTCAGTTCATCACTTTACTTTTCTCCCATACATCCTGTTGAAACAATGCTCATCATCTTGTTTACCACAGCAGTTTTTTTCTCAGTATACGCTGTCGTTAGATAGCCTCAGAGCTATTTACGCTTGAATTGATTATTAAAAGACATTGTTTTCTGTTCACTAGTCTGTTCTAATCCAAAACTCATAACCTGTTTAACCTGTTCAATAGCATGTGAATCGGGAGGAAGTTAGCCTCTCGTTGTTCACCTTTTCACTTGCCTCTTGTAATTGCGAATATTGATTAGAAAGTTCACCCTTAAAGATGCAAAGCATGGAATGACCTCAGCCCTCAGCTGACTTCCCCGTTCCCTGAGAGGTTGCGCAAACATCTTTCAGAAAAAAAAGATGAGTTACTGTCACCAGAATCAAAACATAATTTACAAGTAATCTACTAGGTTCACATGTTGCCACAAACTCTATCTGCAGATTTGCCAGGTACACAGACACACACACACACACACACACACAGCTGTTAAGCCTCATTCTCTATAAAATTTATGCTCCTTCCATGTGTTTTGACTTGTTTGTTTAATCCTTTAATAATTTTGCATCACTGTCATTGTTTCCCCTGTTATACAATTACTTAGAAATGTGAGCATGTAACTGTAATTCCCTTTAGTAAATTGTTGTCCCTATGAACCCATTTCAGGTGAAAGTCTCTAAATTAGACCTTGTATATATATTGATATATTGATATGTATATGTACACAGATTTTCTAAATTGTTTTGTGTTACTTCCGTCTGCAGACACAAAGCCAGTAAAAAGCAGCCGTGTGAAAACACTGTGGTGGCGTATTACTTCTGTGAGGAGCAGATACCGTACAGGACGTCGGTCAAAGGGAGGGTCGTCACTCTGGGCCAGTTCAAAGAGCTGCTAACAAAGAAAGGAAATTACAGGTGAGATTTATGGTGCTATTTGATTTCTATGGACATTTATATTTAAAGACCTGTATCACACATATTCTGTCAGCGAACAGGATTGCACTAGGATCGTGTTGTCTAGGTCAGGATTTTTAACAAAATTTCTAATTCTGCAAGTCCACAGTTCCTGCATTGCTTATTCTTTACTCATTCATTTCTGACAAATTAAAGAGACATGATGAATTATAGCTTGATCAACTAATTAAAAATGAGAACTTATTAAACTTATTTGCCTTATAAGGGTGCTACAGGTGAATCTCAAATGTTAAAACTTGATGAACTCCAACTAGTTTCTGATGTAATGTGTGTCTTACCTGCCGGGCAGATAGTGTAAGTGAAGGTCAGAGCTTAACTTTGTTCCTCACCTTTCTAGGTATTATTTCAAGAAGGTAAGCGACGAGTTCGACTGCGGAGTGGTGTTCGAAGAGGTACGTGACGATGATTCTGTCTTGCCCATCTTCGAGGAGAAGATTATTGGGAAAGTGGAAAAAATTGATTGAAGTGCACGTGGAAGAGGAAGAGGTTTAAAAGCCAGTGTGTGAAGGACAGAGGAGCGATTGGATGGTGAAGAGGAAGTGATTTACGATGAAGAACGGAGGAGCAGAGAAGAAGGTGATATAAGTAGAAGAGTTGAAGAGCAAAGCGGTGGTCACAGCGGATGACTTGTGACATTGAGGCTGGGCAGCTCCACTGCAGCAACAAGAAAAAAAAAAAGACCTCATTCACGTCTTTGGAGTGTAAATTAGAATTGTAAAGTTTACTAGATAAAATGAAGAACAAAAGTGCTACTAAAGCTACATATTTTTGATATGATGTATCAGAGGGTGTCCTTTCTAAAGTAATCGCACTTGTAATTTTTATATGTATTGGTACCAGATGTGTACAGTTTGTGTTAAAAGATAACAAAATTTTATATCTATTTAAGTATTTAATATGCTCATTTTCAATTCTATTGAAGCAGGAGTGTCGCCCCTGTTGAAGACGATCAAAATCCTTTATAGGGCTGATTTTTTTTTTTTCTCATTTATTGTAAGAGTTCTCTGGACTCTAATATTTATGCTCTTCTAAGTGCTTTTAATACTTCACTCACCAGTTCTTTATTTGTGGCATTCAGTCAGGCTGCACTTTCATTCTATTATAAACCACTGACTATGTCTCAGTTTAGGCTGCAACATGATTTTCTGAAGCACCAAACACTGAGTGACCAGAAAAATATAAACGCCTGTACAGGGTAATGCGATCCAGTATAACAGCACAGTGTCTTTGATGCATTTATGGTCCTTTTTGAGGCTCAGACTTTGTGGTGCTTTTATAATGGAGTCAAAAATACAACATACAAGTAACACTTAAGTATAATGCAATCTAATACACCACCACAATCTCAGCCTTAAAAAATGACTATAGGAATCAATTTCACTGTAAATTGATCATCATTAGTTTCACAGAGTTATTATTTACTGCAAGGCTGTTTTATCAGGTTGCATTATTGCATGTTGCACAGGTAATTTTATTTTTCTGGTAATTTGGTGTATACTGCATGTAAATGTAGTTGATGGCTGTGTTTATGTGCATTGTTTTTACCCAACCCAGCTGAAGTTAAAAGAAAACTGCCTTCGAATAAGACAGTAAATGTGATGATATTGTAAAAAAAGATATTATTGGAAAGGTGAATATCTATGCAAGTTGGTTTGTAATTTGGTTGCCCTAATCCAAAATCTACATTAGATATTGATATTATCAATTTGGCCCCCATGGGCAAATCACATATTGTGTGGATTTTAAGTGAAAAGTAAATACAACCTCTTCAGCAAAGACATTAAAAGATTAATCAAATGAATCTTTCTTCGATTTTTAATGCACTGGTACTTTTTTCATTTACTTCAAAAATAGAAAAAAATTAAACAGTAATTTGGCTTGTGTAAAAGTTAGGCCAGCTTTCTACTGGTAAAACACTTTGTTAACTCATTAAAACTTTTTTTTAGATTCTGTGGTAACACTCAGCAACCATGGGCTCCTCTGAGCAAGTGACTGAGGATCTTAAAATGAAGCTAACTGCTGCTACAAAACAGGGCAGGGTATAAATGGATATCAAAGTGCTTCCAGTTTGAGACTTCCACTGTCTGACATGTCATTAAGGAATAGCAGGCGAGAGAGAGTGTGGAAGTGAAGACAAGATTTAGAAGACCAAGAAAACTATGACATGGAACTGCTGGGCAGAAAGGCAAAGCAAAAGAGCTGCAGGAAGGTTTAGCTGACCCAGGAGTGGAGTGGTGGTGCACTGTTCCACTGTGCAGCAGTCACTGTATAGACACAGTCTTCAGATAGAAACCTTACCTGGAACCTCATCACAAAAGTTAACATCTGAAGAGCAAAGGGTTAGAGCCATGCAGCATTTGAAGAAAAGAACACCTTGTCAAGTGTTAAGCATGGAGGTGGAAATATTCTGTTTTGAGTTTGTATGGCAGCTAGTGGCACAGTAAACATTGCACCGATAGAGGGAAGAATGGACTCGACGAAATATCAGCAAGTTCTGGATGCAAATGTCCTTCAGTCAGTCAAGAAAGTGAAAGTCTTACTTCTATAGCATTTCAACAGTGATCCAAAAGCAGACCTCAAAATCCACTATGCACGACTTCAAAAAGCAGCCGTCACAGTTCCCTGACCTGAACATCACTGAAACCCTGTGGGTGGATCTTTAACATGCTGTGTGTGTTAGACAGCTTAAAAGATGTCTGAGAACTTTTACGTGATCTGCAGGAAGAGTGGGTGAAAACTCTTTAATTGAGAATAGAGAGACTTGTAAAAAGCGAGCTGTGATATCTGTTTATTCATTTACTTTCTATTTTTTTGGGGTCGTGAAATAAAAAGTAACAGTGCATTAATATTTGAAGACTAATTTTTAATGTCTGTTTGCTGCGGGGATTGTATTTACTTCTCACTTATCATTTGCCCAAATTTATGCATACAACTGTAAGAGCAGTCAGGATATTAAAATCCTGTTCAACTACATGTCTGTTCATTTAGGTGTTTGTTACGTGAGCACCTCTGTCGTTTCATCAGGCTGAAAGTTCATTTGGGTTGAGGTCAACAGGGATTCAGAATCCTGGTTGTGGATGAGTAATTTGACCTTCTTTACGGGAGCTATTTGTAAGTTTTGCTATTGCCACATAGCTAACATTAGCATTAACAGCTGTTTATTTACCAGTCTGGAGGAAACATTGCGAGTTCAGCATCAAACTTCATTCCTTTACTCACCAAGAGCTGTCTCCAGTGGTGGAGAGCAACACCAATGTTAACTCTTGTCTCTACGATGACTTTGCTTCTACTGAAGTTAGCATGCTAACCAGCTAGCCAAGGCCCATCTTGTCACTTTCCGATAGCGACTCACTGTAGCCTCCAATCTGCCCTGAAGACATAGTTCTGCTCGGGGGGCAGTTATAACCTCGTGTCTTGTAAACACAATTATGACTGAGGCTCTTGTCAAGCTACAATCACCACCACCCGCTCCCGACAAGAAAACACGTTCGGCAGCAGAGACAACTTACAAAAAGCCCTTTTTAAAATAGTCAGTGCCAATGCAAATTTGGAAAACAATAACTCTTTGAGTAATTCAATTTTCTTTTAATTGTTCCCAGTTAAACAGTCTCTCAATTTAAGTGCTGCATTCAGCTTTAGAGGTTACTACTGCTCGTGAAACAAAAGAGCAGATTTTCCTGTAGACCTGCAAGCTCAAGGTCATGCTTTTGTAACACAGAGAGGTCCTTAGACCGGAGGTCCCAGCATTTGAATGAGAAGGCCAGTGAAAGTCATCAGAATACTGTCATGTTTGTGACATGAAGATCACATAAAGGCATATTTGAACACTGGAAGTGTAGAGGAGAGTTCAGGCATAGATTTCTCTGAAGTTCTGCATTTTATCCATGGGAACTGGTGAGAGCCAACAGACACTGACATGTTGCACTTCTGTTTACATCCACTATTTTTCCAGCTTCAAGATCCATACACATTGTTTTCTGCTATTCCCCAAGACTTACCATCTTAAACCTTTAATCACTGCTTAGTTGATGGATCAGTTAAGAAAGGGCTGCGCTAAGAACTGGTTTCTAATCTGTAGCCTTCTCTAGCTTATCACAGCTACATCTCGTGCCTGGCAGGAATTAATTGTTTAGTGCAAATGATCTACTTCTGATAGATCACGTTACACCAAAGAGAAAAAAGTAGATGGTAGGTACAGCTTTGAGTTACCCTTTCACACTGATATTCCTCTTCATTATGTGGTATACTTGTTATATTTTCTTTTTATGTTAAATCATTGAAGCTCTTGCATGAAAGCCAGATTTTTTGTTGTTGTAGTTGCAATGGACAAGGTGTGTGTGACTGCAGTTTTTTTTAATGCTTTTGGATATGAACATCAATTTTGAAAACATCATTCAGATGAAACACTTCATGGAGCTCACAAGACATTCACATCTTGTTATTATTGCAAGACTGAATGTCAGCCAATTTAAATTCGCTGTCTCCTCTATTTGACAATATAAATAACACTTTTGCAATGGAATAGCACACGAAATTAAACTGAAAGCACTGGTACAGTGTTGCTGGGGGAGCGACATGATATTAAGATTCAAGGCCACCTTTTTTTGTCTCTGTACCTCATCATTGTGCCAGAGTCCATAGTGAGGAATGTGGCATAATAAAAGCCTTTTTGTTATGGAATAATAGGCAGAAAAATGAGTGGACCTTCAATCCAGAGTGCTGTATTGTATGTTTTGTTGCATAGAAACCCAGTGTAAGGAATATCTTATATATATATATATATATATATATATATATATATATTTGTTTGTTTTGTCTTTTTTTTTGTTGAGATGCTGTTGTTGAGATTCCTTTAACTTAAATTAGTTTATTATATTTAGTGCATTTTTCTTTGTTCCTTTGTCTGTTGAATTATAAATTTTTGAGTACATGATCAAGTTAAATACTTATCTTGATTTTCATTGTTTATTTCTTTTGAAATATAGAGTGTCAAATCTGTTATGATTTTTACTGTGAAAGCCCCAAAAGCGAACTTCCCTTATTTAAGATCATTGAAATGTATATAAAACATCAGAGTGCCTTTATTGCTATGCTAATGATGTCTGCAGTTTGACAGATGTGGAGACATAAATGCCAGGGACTAGCTTTATATTGTTTAGACTTCTTTTTTATCATTATTATTATTTTGCAAAGTTGTTCCCGTTCAACGATTGTCACTTTATTCCACCTTTTCTATGTAAATATGTACAATTGAAATTGTCGTCAACCAGCAGCCCAGTCAGCACATTCAGTACCCTGGACCTGTTTCTGTTCATTAACTAGCATGGTTACCGTTTAAAGGTACCTGGACAATAAATACATGCAATAAACCAGCGCTTGTGTCGTGTGTGTCTGTGGGGCCGTGCGGTGGGCAGTGGTGGTGTTGTGCATTGCCAGCAACGCCCAAGAACAACATGAGGCAGGTGACTTGTCTTTGGTAAAATATATTTGTCCATATCATAATTTAAAGGTTACACAGAGATATTATAGTCACAGAAAGCTACACATATGCTTTTGTTTCGAAGTTGAGCATAACTGCAGTGTGTTGCTGCAAACTGAAGATGGCGCTCTCGGTTTCCTGGTAATAATAGAT